GAAAAAAAAACACTTCTTTCACTGGCTCGGCAACTCATTTGGCAGATTAAAAACTTGATTCCAGGTTGCCACTCAGCTGACAGCTGATATGGAATACCTCACTTCTTTGAAAATATTTTCGTCTTTTTTTCTTCGTTGAAAATGCAAATGTCTGAAAAAATAAGTGGCCTATAACCGGTGAGAAAACTAGATTTGGGGGTATCCTAGGTTGATCTCTATTATGTTTCAGCCCCTCCCCCCAGTCTGGAAGAAGTTTCCGCGCCACTGTGTTGATGATATGATATTCCTCATGAAATGAATGATAACTTTTTCTTAGCTGTACGAATGCTCGTGCTGTGCAGAAGGTACATTTTTTTTTTTATAAATTTAGTCCGAACCTTTTGATGGGAAGGATTCACAAGGACAGAGCCACCGCTAAGCGAAGCTTGTTGCGATGACCCTGCCCTCTACCCTCCGATCGCGCAATTCCGAGTCTATGGCAGAATTTAGAGTCCAAAGTTTAACGTGCGCACAAAGCCGCGCACGGCCGGTCCTCTCGCTGACTTCGTCTGGCTACGGCCTGCCACCAACCGCAACCATACCTGTCAGGAGGCCCATAAATGTCGAGCGCCCGTCGCGCTTCGAACCCGGACTGTCATAACCGGGAGAAAGAAAACACTCAAAGATATTACCAACTAGATTATATCTCATCGAGTATCAGATATTTTCCCTGAACTTAATCACACATTTGAAGTAATCTCCCGAGCGTCGTTGACCGTTGTCGCGTTACAAGCCAGATTGACCTCTGTACTCGTATACCTATGCTTTAGAACCAATGAGTAGATAGGACTGAACCTCTGAACCCCCAATTATGTGGATTAGTTTTTTTTTTCGTTTACCTATAGTCTAGAGACTCCGCCAGATTCGCCGCACTCTGCTCGTTAACTGCACTGCCATCTGCCCGTGGTTGTTGCAACCACCGTGCCGCTGCACCGCCGCGCACCGGTGTGCCGCGGTGCAGCATCCTGACAGCGGCAGGAGCCGAGTGCACTAGGGCCGCGCGGAGCGGCTGGCGAGCTGGGGCACACTGGTGGTTACTGGATGGCCGATGTGGGACCGATTTCTGTCTACCATACCATGTGACAAAGGGAGAGTACACGGTCAAGTTCCAGCTACTGGCCGACTGTCACTTTCCCTCGAGTGTAGACACCGTCGGCCGACCTTATTGTATATCTGTCGGTTGGAGGGGTCGGTCCGATATTGGGTAACCATTGAAGCTCTGTTCACACACGACTCACCGACAAACCTGAACAGTCTCAATTCAACTCTGGGCCCTGTCTAATAAATTCCGTATAGCAGGGTTTGGCACTGGCTAAAGCTCAACTTTTGTTACACATTCAGTAGGTACAGCCCTCGTCTCACTGCGCGGTAGGTATTCGAGATATTCTCGGTTTTGTCGAGAAAAGAATACTTACCGCCTAGTGAGACGAGAGCTGTAAGTGTACATTGTCTACTAACGGTCTCACCAATAGTTTCTTTTACTGAGATGCGCGTTGATAACACTCCAGAATGCGAATAGCAGACATTCGATGTGTTTTATATGATTTTGGCGACATGTCATTAGTGATCAGAGGTCAACGTCTTTGTCAAAATAACTGGGCCAAAATGAATATAAGACAATTACAGTTACTTTTTTGCTTTAACTCGGCATGCAATGTCCTATTTACCAGGATTGACATTCACAAATATTGAAGCTTTAACCTTAATCCTGTGGAACACATAACAAAATTATGAATGGGAAATTCGGATGGTTTTAACTGCAGTCTTGCTTTGGTCTTGCTTTTGGTATTTCAAAGCCTAGTGTGTGTGTGTGTGTGTTTTTTTTTTAATTCCGTATAATTGACGACGCAGATAGAGGTCGAAGGGTGAAAATTGGCCGGTTAGAGTGGTTAGACGGTGAGACGTAAATACAGCTGCTAGCTCAATGGCTGTTAGAGCTCGTGAAAGCGTACTGTATCCATTTCTTAAGTCTCGTCCGCAGTGGCAGAAGCGCCGGCGCACTCGGGTGCCGGCGAAGTCGCGCTCTGCATCGTCGAAAAATCAGCAGCGAATAGCAGCAGTCTGTCCACGGTGACTGGAACTAGGGACTCGTCGCGGCCACACATGTGAATGGAATGGAATCAAAATCTCAACCCTCGCCAGGCCAGGGCCCTTTTCATAACGCGGACGGCCAGGGGGGGGGGGAGGGGGTGGTTGGTACCAAAATTCTTACAGATAAGGTTGGGACGCTAGTCACGTGATCCTCTTCCCTGCTTATTTCTTAGCGCTGTCGATGGGCTATGCAGAATGAAGCATTATAAACTATCCAGCCTTGGTCATGGACAATGGGTCATGTCAAAGAAAGAAAAAACGTGTCGTAATTATTGCACGTGTTCCGCCATCACTCCTTGGTGCTGACGAAGTATACTGCACTTAAAAAAATTAAGCACCTCCCTGTACCGGCTAATTTTAAGCAGGCTAAATGGGTAATACGCTGTATAAGAAGTTTAGCACCCGTGTCAAAAAGAAACTCCCTGTGCCGGCTTGTTTTGAGCAGGCACTGCCTGCTCAAAATAAGCCGATACAGGGCGCTTCCTTTTGACACGGATGCTAAACTTTTTTACAGTGTGCTTACATACCTATGCCAGTGCGACACACAGTTTTAAAATCGCTGGTTTCGATTCAGATCAGTTGCGATGAAATTATCGAAACCATGTGAAGTTTTACCACGGCCCCAGTGCCTGTTACCGGTCGACTGCTGTTCAGTGGTGTCCAGCGGTCCACTTTCACCACTAGGTGGTCCTGCTTTAGGACAGATGTTCTGGATTCCAACACCACCATACCTGGCGCTCGCAATTAACGGCATTTTCACCACACTTTCATATGTTGGTATATGCATACATACATATGAATATGCATGTATATAGAATATGCATGTATGTAGGCATAAGTGACTTGTATAACAACCGCAATTCGAATGTGCATTCGCAAATAAATGCTCCCAGTTTCGAAAAGCCTCGATCCTTTGGAAAAGCGGTAAGAGCCTTTGAAGAAACAAAAGTAGTGAAATCTTCAGAGGGATTTTCAAAACTTCACTTCAAAACTTCGTAAAATCGTTTTTGATGCACAACTAAAAGTATCAACTTGTCACTGAGACAACTCGCCTTTAACCATCGCCGTCCAAAGGGTTGGGGGGGGGGGGGAGGTGCCTTGGTAACAAGTTCAATAAAAAATGCAACCCTGGTGGCGCAATTTTAAGGCCGATGCGGGAGGTGCGGGTTTGATTTTCGGTGCCGCCCGTCCCGCGGGGTGTCGTCCCCGGCTGGGTCACCAGATGTGGGGTGGGCTCTCACTTCAGCCGCGGCCTGAGGGGGGGGGGGATAGTAGGGCAAGTAGGAGCAGGAACTCTCCTATAATTGGGACAAGTTATAAAATATAGAACAATATTTACAAAAACAAGATAGCCGTTTTGTTTTATTGACACTTATATTTTAAAGCATTGTCACTTTCTAGGTCAGAAACTATCCCATTGAATTCTATGAATAAAGTGACCCATAAAACATGTGTCGCACATGCCCTTTTCTATATTTTGTTTTTGGTGACCTGACCTAAGCTGACCTGACCTTGACCTTGACCTCTGAATGATGTTGTATACAACGAATATTGTCTTGGTAGCCCAAGAACACGTTTTGGGCAATCAGTCTCAGTCCATCACTCCATTCTTCGGCAACTACGGTGCAAGGCCGATACTGTAGAAACTTGCAATTTGTACCCTTGACCTGACCTTGACCTTGACCTCAAACTTTAAATCAAGTACATGTTTTTAGTTATTCGTGATGAGATCTTTCGATTGGCGTTTGAATTTTCCAAATCGGACCAATAGTTCGGGAGTTAACCGGGGGGGGGGGGGTAAAATTCGCCCCCCCCCCCAGCCCCGCGCGGGTTAATGTCGCGAGAGCCGTACCTATAACTGACCTATATACTGACGCTAGGAGTCGCTAGCGTCGTGTGGTGTCGGCTCGGAACGGCTGGGCCGATGCGCGGACGGTGTCGCTATCTAGCGTCGTGTGTGAATCCGGCGCACAGACGGTGGCGCTAGCGTCGTGTGTGAACCCGGCGTACAGACGGTGTCGCTAGCGTCGTGTGTGAACCCGGCGCACAGACGGTGTCGCTATAGCGCCGTGTCGGAACGGCCGAGCCCCGGGTGTATTTGCTGAGCCAACGTACAGATGATGTCGCTACCGTCGCGCCGGGCGAACAGAGGGTGTCGCTAGCGTCGTGTTGGACGGCTGAGCCATCAGCCGGTGCGCCAGTTCTGATAAACAATTGCGGACATGGATCCAAGAAAATGCGGAAATGATGAAATATTGTAGCTGTACGGACCGATATCACACAAAAACCATGAGAAGGTAGCCTCGCGTACTGACAAAATAACACCAGCCCAGTCAAGTGCTGACAAGTGACATCGCCAATCCAACTTCACCGTTTTCGAAATATTAGCTGGCCCTGTGGCCCATTTCAGCACATCTCTGGCTGAAAAATTACTTTCGGAAGATTTAACGTGTGTGTCTAAGTTTATTACAATCACACTTTAATGGAGCCTACAGCATGCATAATTCGGATGAGCTAAAAATTGCATGTTAGAGATGCAATTTTCCCTATATTTGGTTGAAAATTAACAAATACGGTTGATTATAACAATAGCGATTACCAATAACGGCTATGTAACGGTTGATAAAAGCTAAAAGCCAAAAACTTCCGCGATACTGTAGTTCACCTTTTATGGTTTTGTCTTTTGGGCTAATATGAGTTATTACCTTTTACAATTTCCGCGTTTACCTATATTCCTCCACACCGTTCCGCACTTCTTCATCCCACCATTTCCCAACTTCGATCCACCGTTCCCCGACTCCTTCCCACCATTCCTTCCCCCCACACTACTTCCCCTGTTCTCGCCCCGCCGCAGCGCTCGGCTGTCTCACCTTGCGGGACCTCCGTGCCGCCTACCACTCGATCCGAGCGGTCCAGGGACCGGTCACTGACGTCCGCCGGCGCAGCATACACCACCCCGAGCTGCACCAGCACCAGCACCAACACCAGCAGCGGCACCAACATCGGCAGGAGGCGGACCATGTCGGCTGCGCTCGCACTCGGTACCGGCGGGTGTGTGTGGTGTCTGACGGACCTCTGCGGCTGACACAGGTGTCGGCCCGACACAGCCACGGCCCGACACAGGTGCGCCCGAGCCGTGGAGGCCTTCACAGAGCGGTGCGGAGACGCTACGTGGCGTCACCGCACGAGTCGTGATGTCACAGAAGAGACACACAGGTGAAGGAACTGACGTCACGCAGTGGGCTGAACAGGTGTGATTTAGTGTGGATGAAGACCGCCTATAGACGTCATTACCTTGAACCTTCAGTGACGTTCATATTTTGAATGACTTGTAAAGGACCTTTTAACCTTTTGAAGGACATTTTGGGCCTGTTTGCACAAGCATCCCGCTTGCGCCTGATCGCATTCCATTGCTTGTTGTAACGACCTAGTGCATATGGAGACGATGAAAGTATACGAAGAAGATGATTAAAAACAAACGACGATTTAAATGCTGTCAGTTATACTTCCGGTGCTTTAAATAGATACTTTGATCACTATAACAACGAATAACCTTGTCCTCATTTTCACTCTACGGCTTGACAATGCATGTGCGATACCTGGCACACATAATAACAATTCGTAGTCATGGAAATATCACCCTATAACATTGTTTTTGATCCACATATACGAATATACGAAAAGTGGAAAGCCTTTGCGATAGACCTCTCCATACCATAATATAATTATAGACCTCAGAGAGGTCTATGAATTCAACATTTGCCATATCATCAAAACAGTTCTCTATGCCCGTTAGTCTTCCACAAGAGTCGGGTGACTAAAAGACTAAGTCTTATAGCCGTGGCAGGTGAGAACGGATGGAAACACTCGATGTGACATGATGAACATGGTAAGCACGCGAGGCAGCTGGCGGATAGAGAGAGAAAGATAGAGCGAGAGAGAGAGAGAGAGAGAGAGAGAGAGAGAGAGAGAGAGAGAGAGAGAGAGAGAGAGAGAGAGAGAGAGAGGGGAGAGAGAGACAGACAGCCAGATAGATAGACAGACAGACAGACAGACAGACAGACAGACAGGCACGGCTACAAACATAAGACGCAGACATAAAGAGTGAGTTGCTTAGTGAGGGGGTGAGCAAATGAGCGAGAACGACATTTAAGAAAGATTGACTTTAAAGTTAATGGGATTTTCGCACAACGATGCACATTACATACACATACGAAGTGGGGTAAATGGTCGGTCAGAGTTCACTGTTATAAAAGACCTACATATAAAAACCGTAGAAGTAGAAGGCCCATGCTGGCATGGTAACGAGGTTGACAAGGCCCAGTGTCACAATGGGTGTAGTTGCTACTCCAAGCGGATGCGTGAATTATGCGACAGAAGGCAACCTAAGTGCGAGGTCATTTACCGTCAACAAAAATAGCAACAACTTGAGACAAGGTCCTTCTAAAAAAACCCGCACACTTACCACTGTTCGCAAGTCTCGCACACGCACAAATGAAAGTTAAACAGGCGCACACACGTCCTAGGATTTCAGCCTCCCACCATCCCCGTCTTCATTGAGATGGCTCCGATAATGTCACAACAGCACATCGTCGTCCTCCAGCTTGTTGAGGCGTCTCACCAGGGCCAGTTCGGCATAGTCCGGTCGGTGGCTGGTGGTTGTAGCTCGCTTGGCTGACACAAATTTCACACGAAAGCTGCGCACCTCGTCCGGCGCCAGGCGCACGTCTCGCAGTCGTCGTAACTCGGCTGGTGGTGGATCTAGTCTGCCACCAGTCAGCGTGGTCTCCTGCAGTTGCAGCACCTGCAGCGGCGGATGGAAGTCGACCTGTGCGGAGTCGGCCGGCGCAGAGGGACAGCCGAGGCCGTCTCGCTGGTCCGTCAGTCGGCAGTCGAGCTGGCGGCGCAGGAGAGTCAGCTGCGCGCCCTCGCCGGGCACCTCGTACCGGGCGAGCTCGGGCAGCTGACGCAGCGTCAGCAGCTCCCAGCCACAGGGCAGCGAGCCGTCCAGCAGGCGCAGTGGCGAGCGCACCGGCGGCGGCCACGGGTCGTCCGAGAGCTGAACGACCGGCGGGTGGCTGAGCAGTCGCGCCAGGGACGAGCTGAGCGCCCCTGGAGCGAACAGCCGCTCCGACACCGGCTCGGCGTCCGACTCAGTCTCCGGGAGGTACTCGAACGTGAGGGCGAATGATGCCAACACCGGGCGCCGCTCGTGGTCACCGAGTGACGATCCTCCGCCGTCAGCAATCTCAACACCGCTGTCAGCGTCCAGAACGGCAGTCAAAGAGCCCTCCTTGAAGCTGGCGACTCCCCGCGAGTGGTCCATGAGCAGAGATACACGTCGATGAGAGTCTTCCAGACTGACTTGAGTCGTCACCGGGTAGAACTGGGCCGCGGCGTCGGTGGCCGGCAAGTGTGGGCGCCACACCATCCGATAGTCGTTGGCGTCAGCGTAGAATCCGCAGCCTCGTGGCTCGCAAGACTGAAGGTCAGTACGGAGAACGAGTGCCACATCGCGCGGCTCAGCTTCGCTGGGTGGTCTCGTTTCCACCTCGATATGGACGGCCTGGCCGAGCGTACAGTTCGAGTGGTACAGACGGACCGCGAGTCGCACCCTGCCACAGGTCACTCTCGCCTCCGAGAGCACTACTCCACTCTGAACCGTCCAACTATTCCGAGAACACCGCAGCGGCTGAAGCAGCGTAGCGCGTCGATCGGCGTCGGCCAGCGCACCTACCCCGAGTCCCATCGGCTGCCGCTGACCGGTGCGACGATCGAGCACGGTCACCAAGCCAGCAGACTTGTCGAACGTCAACTGGAAGCGTGCGCTGTCGATGACGAACGTTTCGTTAAGCTCAGCTTCAGACAGAACGGGAGAGATGGACGGTGGCACCGCCGGCCGTTGTACAAGAAACAGGTGTAGCGCCACCGGCTCGAGTCGCGCCAGGAACTGGACGCGCACGGTCGAGTCGCCGCCGGCGGTCACCTGTAGCGGCAGCGACCGGCCCGCGTCGTCAGTGACAGTGATACCCGGTCGTCGGACCAGTAGCGATACCAGCGCTGTACGCTGCTGTGCCACCGGGTTAAAGATGAGCAGCCGACGTCTTTGGCCGGCCAGTACCGTGAACTCGACAGGCTGCGGAGGCTCGCCGAGGCGGTCCAGCTGTGGCGGCGAGTGCTGCGCGAACAGCTCCGTCAGTTGATTGTAGAACTCGAGGTCCGACAGCAGCTCAGCAGCCGCTGTGAGCTGTACGTGGGTCAGATCCTGTTGGCTGATGTTGAGCCGTTCGCCGTAGTCGGCCATGACGTAGGGTGCCACAGCGCCCGAGGCTATGTGGTGGTCGCTGAACAGCCCCACGTCCTGTCGATTCATCGTCAGTCGCTTGTAGGCGTGCTGGAACACAGAGAGAGTGCGTGGCTCGCGGTGTCGGCTCCAGGACCACACGAACATCAGCTCAGCGGCGTGCAGGTGCGCCTCCAGCTGTCGGGCGGCGCGCAGCCACTCCGGCAGGCGGCTGTAGCGGCCGGGCGCCCCTGGCTCGTGCAGCTCGCCACTCAGTGAGGGTAGTCGGCCGGCGCCACCATCGGCCGAGCTCCACCGGCGCACCTCGCTGAAATAGTCGGCTGGCGTGGCCAGGCGCAGCTCAGCCCGCAGCTCCGGCCGGCTGGCCAGACACGCCGACAGCTGCCTGAAAGCTCGGTACTCGGACCGCCACGAGGACTCCTTTTCGAACCGCATGTCGCCTCCGAGCGTCAGCAGCGCCACGTTGTGGCGGGACAGTGAACCAATCCTTCCGCCTAGGTCCACCAGTCGTTCGGTCAGCCTCTGTGAACAATATTGCACGCAGAGTTGTAGTTGTAGTCAGCCTATAAATACGTCAGACCAGCGTCGTAACATTATGATATGCCAAACGGAATGGTCAGTCCGGAACGTCACGTGTCGTAAAAAAAAACTAGGGTTTGACAGGGCGCCAGGGATCAGTGTTCAGTGTGTGTGTGTGTGTGTTTTTTTTTTTGTAGAATTTTGTGATTGTTATTCGCCTGAGGCCGAATATATAAGTTAAATATGCGCCACCAGTAAAACGCCTTTCGGGGCGACAAACCAGCGACCGAGAGGCCAAAGGGTGAGCCTTGCGCGTGCGGAAGTGCGAGGGAGTACTTCCAACAGACTTGTTAACGGCACCCTACTAGCCGGTCCACAACCGTGTACCACATTTGAGCGCAATCGATTCAGCCGTTCCAGAGATCTGGAAGCGGCTCCTGCACGTGCGCACGTGCAGCAGCACCCCAACCGTGACACATTGGTATGCATTGTCTCGTGGGTGTTTATCTAACATGCCAGGTTTAAGCGCAATCGGCCCAATAATTGCCGAGATATAGCAATTGCTACAAAAGTGACACCCCTTGGTTTTGCACGTGGCACATGCATAAGGGGTTAGGCACATGGCTCAGGAATAGTCTAATACTTGGTAGAAGGAATGAAGCTAGTAGCTACCCTACAAAAATCTAAATAACCGCAAGTAAATCGGTCTTGTGATTACGGAGATATAAGCTTCGCAAAAGCATCCCCACGGCCGCGCGGCTGGCCGGCTGCTCATACTCAGAAACTTTTGCTATTCTACGTAAGACTTCTCGCGCTCTGCTCGCTCCTAATTAGGTTGTAAATATAGTGGCCTATACTCTACAGCTACCGGATAACGAGGTGTACCTAGTTCTCGAAATTTCTGCTAAAAAGCCTTGGTGATAAAAGCCGATGTCATAAATATATTAAAGAGAAACTAAGGTGTGGCCTTAGTCTATGTATGTATATCTATAGAGGCAACCCTCTTTATGATTTTAGACTGGAAGTAAACTCCGTCATTACGTTTTTTCATAATGACACGAAGATTCCTGTCATTACGGAAGTACTTTTCACGGTATGTGCTTTTCACAGCCGTGCAGTGTTACCTTTAGGCATTGTTCCCAAATATCTGCCTATACAGCTATATTGCGTTCCATCGCGCCTCCCGCTCAGACGGTTTCGAAGCTCGATTATAAGAGCTCAAGCACGGTGAATGGTGATCAAACTACATGAATATGCACACGAAATGGGCCAACCCGGCTTCCTGACTGTGGACTTATATAACGCTGTGTCGTAAAACCTGTGAGCGGACAGTACGGAAATAGGACAGTCAGCCCTCTACTACGGCGTTCGTAACGCCTCAGAGAACAGAAGGCGACGGCTCCCAGCAAGAAATGGTAACAGCCGCTCCACCGCAGGACCATTTACGGTACCATGCGTGTACTAAGTCCCACGAGACTGGGCAAACGATTAACAATACCTAAGTACATATATAAAAGTGCGGATGTTGTAGTGCTCACTCTGACAATATGGATGAGACAGATATGACCTCAAAGTAGTGAGATGGGCACTTAAACGTGGCATATGCAGTTTTGGGAACATGCAAGTGTGTCACACGTTGTGAAATAGGGAAGGCAATGCCTGGAAAATTGCATGTATTTCGCGTAACTCATGGTGACAGAAACGGTCTGCAGCGACGTGGAATTTATTTCTGTGAGATCAGTTTTACTACAAAAGAGAGGCGAAAACGCATGGAAAACGACAGTCATTCCGGAAAAAATGGTCTACGGGACGGTTTTATCAAGGCTCTGATAACGGTCGACCACGAACGGCCGGCCACGATGGGCGAGGCGCAATTAGGGGAGAGAGCGAGAGCGAGAGAGAGAGAGAGAGAGAGAGAGAGAGAGAGAGAGAGAGAGAGAGAGAGAGAGAGAGAGAGAGAGAGAGAGAGAGAGAGAGAGAGAGAGAGAGAGAGAGAGAGAGAGAGAGAGAGAGGCGAATACATACCTTTAATTTGGAGTTTGTTAGGCAATGAGATGAATTGAACACGTCAGAAACAGGAGAGTTCTGAGAAAAGTCTAGCTCTTCGCATGCTTTGGACGCAATTCCAAATGTTCTGCAGCTGTCGGCCAGATAATCCCTAAAAAGAAAACTGTGCGTTAGCCACCTGTCGTATGATTACACAACACTTTGACGGGGTTTATGCGAGTTTTGTTGTAACAGCTGCAAAAATAAGGCAAGCTAGCTGAAACGAGCCTTTGCGTTGTATGTACATTCTCTTATTTAATAGGTGATGGGCCACTAAAGTATTTAAAAGTATTGTTTTCAATACGTGAGGACTAAAATGTCTCACATGGCAGGGCTCTTGGCCAATGGCTGCATATTTAACTTCTGACTGAAAAATACATTTCACAAAGTACGCTCAGCTGTAAACTCAGAAGTCAGAACCACTACGCAAGAAAACTTAATGATACAAGTTTAGCCAGAAGAAAGGTAACGTACTCAATCATAAACTAGCTAAATACACGTCGCTTGTGCCTATCCCATGCTTTATAGTACCTACTCTTTTTGCTACTGTTCCGAGCCTGGCACGTCAGAGGTGTAAAATCGCCCGCGGCGCGCCGGTTGGTCGAGTTTCCTCACGTGAACTGCGGCTGAATGTGCGTGAGTAGAGAGTCAGAGTTGGTGATGTCCCACTCCTGCCGCCACAGAAAGTCGCCCTGCTGATGCGACGCAAAATACTCCTTCCACCTGAGTGACGTTTTCTGTAACGAAAATAAAATGTAACGCGCGTTTAAGACCTGCAACGGCGGGGATTTATCAACGACACATAAATGTGATTGTGTCCTGGAATTGCTCACGATGCATTCATGAGCCATCACGCTCATTAGACAACTCCTGATGCAACTTTTAACTCATGTTTAAGCCCAAGCACTGTGATTCATAAATGACGGAGCTTAGGCTTGCCTAAGCAACAAAATTTATTTATAATAGCTGCCTCTATATACACCTACTTGCAATCAGTTCATGTGTCTGTCATCGTCTGCCACCTGCGTGCAACACTAACATAACTTACGACCCGCGGCTGTCCACCGCCTTAATGTCCACTCATTAATTACCCGCCACGGTGCCTAGCTTTCCTGTATTATACATTTATACAAAGCGACGGTAATTGTAAGTAATTGCAGGCCTTTAACGACAGGTATTATCTGTTGCAGACTACGATCATATCCCACCGCTGCCGATGTGCATCGCTGAGTTTTATGAATGGGCCCGACTCACCAGTATACTGGCGCCGTTCAGGCCGGCCGCGCGCAGCAGGTACGACAAAGTGGAGCTGTGACCAGCAGAGGTCAGCGACCACCCGGAGGACACCGTCACGTTCAAATGGTGGTGAACCCACCGGTGACCTGTTGGAGTGGCCAGATATCGCACAGAGTCAGACCCGGCGACCCAAGGTAACTTTTGTACTGATGACCTGCTGGATTGGCTGGTTATACAAACAGAAAACAGACCAACGGACTGGGTATGACATAAAGGCAAGCTAAAAAGTGATGTGAAGCGACTAATCTGTTAGAGTGGCGAGTTCCATACAGAGAACGATCCCGAGACTCAACTGGGACACATTCAAATGATGACACAGTCTGCTGTGGTGACCTGTTGGAGTGCCCAGATACATATACCGTTCTATTGCAGCGGAGCAGAAAGGCCATTACAAAGCGAAATGGCGTCTGCACGGTAGGCTCCACAAAACGCTGCAGTGGAGACAGGGTACGAGTTGATGTGCCGCCTTTTACCTACCTTCAGTGATGTGGTCATTTCCTAGTGCCTAGCCCTACTTTCAGTGAGTTGGTGTGCTGCCTATTGCCTACCTGCCTATTGCCTACCTTCAGTGAGCTGGTCCAGCAGCGGGTAGAGTCGGGTGACAGCCCCGTCCGCCATCACCCATCCGCCGTTGGCAATCTCCAGTCGGCCGGAGGCAGCCAACTGACGAAGAGTGCCGCGACGCGCCTTCGAGGCACTGCGGGGAGAGAGAGAGACAGAGAGAGAGAGAGAGAGAGAGAGAGAGAGAGAGAGAGAGAGGGAGAGAGAGAGAGAGAGAGAGAGAGAGAGAGAGAGAGAGAGAGAGAGAGAGAGAGAGAGAGAGAGAGAGAGAGAGAGAGAGAGAGAGAGAGAGAGAGAGAGAGAGAGAGAGAGAGAGAGAGAGAGAGAGAGAGAGAGAGAGAGAGAGAGAGAGAGAGAGAGAGAGAGAGAGAGAGAGAGAGAGAGAGAGAGAGAGAGAGAGGAGATGTGAAGCGAAGGAAACTATTGCCTGGAGTTGAGGGGAGGACAAAGGTCACTGAGAATCACTCAAAGCACAGAACCATTCACTGAGGAAGCGATGTGCAAGGCGTAGCGGCTGCGGTTGGCGGCGGTGAACGGGCCCCAGTCATTACCGTTTATGCACGGCGGCGAATGCTGGGGGCCACAGATTTGAGTCGCCCGGAAACGGTCGGAATGACAGCCGTCCAAATGACATAGTCCAAACCTAGGCACGTACGATACGGGAACTCCAGCCTGGACGGCCGTACGGGGAATACCGTAGGAAATGTAGCCGGGCCACTGATTGGGGTTATATGAGCAGACAAAAGTGAGACAAACCCATGAACGACCTCAGACAGAATGGTTAAGATCAATACTCATTTAAATGCAAGACATTCTAAAAAGACGACCAAAATGGAAGCCAAATAAAGAGACCGCGACAGCATCAGACACGACGGCGCCAGCAGACCCAGCCGGACACAGCGTCACGATAAGTGTCGCTATATAAGTGATAAGTGTCGCAGCGTCACGATAAGTGTTCGGCCAGCTGAATATGCCACCGACACCCACCATCAGTGACATGGGCCCACTCTGTATGCAGTTACTCCGCAGCACTCACCCCTCCCACCAGAGCTGCAGCAGGCTGATGTCAGACCAGGTGAAGCGCATCTGCGGCATCTGCGGCATCATCTGCACCAGCGTGTCGAGCACGCGGTGGGTGTGCCGGAGGTGACACGAGACCAGCGTCAGACGCCGGCACTGGTCGGGAGGGCGGCTGAGGGGCACCACCAGAATCTGCCGAAACAGGTGGAAGACACTGGTCAAATTGTCAGTGGACGGCACCACTAGAATCTGCCGAAACAGGTGGAAATTCGGCCGGTGACACTGGTCGAATTGCTAGTGGACGGCACCACCTGAATCCACCGAAGCAGGTGGAAATTCGGCCGGAGACACTGCATTGTTCTACAGTGGACGGCACCGCCAGAATCCACCGAAAAAAGGTGGAAATTGCAGACTCTGGCCAGAGACACTGGTCACTGTCAATGGACGGCACCACCAAAATATACATATTGAAACAGGTACATACTGCATATTTTGGTTACTGTGACACTGGTTAGTACAACTAAACGAATTTAAAGTGGACGCAAAATAATATCTCAATGCAGGATAGATGCATTCTTGAAAGAAAGACTCGTCTAAAAAAGAAGAATACGTGACGACAAAGTTGCGAGAAAGCACACATAAACACATACTAACCAGGCAATAATTATTAGATGCAATTTTACTCTTCTGAAAACACCTCCTGATACCTTCATAAATACTTTCATGTATGATCTCTGGCTGAGCCCGTCATCTGCTATTGTCCTGGTATTTATGATCAAATGTGCACTTGCTCGTCCCACTTGAGGACTCTTGTGGGCGAACGGAGACGTCACCATCAACGTGCTCAACGTGATGCACGACAAAAACGCCCTTACCTATGATGTGCTATATTTGATCAATTTTCCTGTATAGAATTATTATTCAAATTCATTCATAGCGAGGCTTTTCATTCCCCGCCGAGACAAAAAGCGATCTTGCTTTCGTGTCCGCATGAATATAAGGCCCATTGCAAAGCGCTACGGGTGCCGTTCGAGCCCCAGCCCGCAAGTGACAGCATCCGTTGTTGGTATAGCGGTAGTGGCATGGTGACATAGTGTTGGCATGGTGCTAAAATATGCCGAACGCACAAGGCACACTGGAACGCCTCTCCCCTGCTATGTCGTTAGTTCCGTCTGTTGTACGAATAGCAAATGCGCACCAGTGTTTGTACAGCCGAGACTGTGGTGAGAAAGTTGAACGGTTACAGAGAACGACATTCCACCGCGCTAAGGCTGCACTGAGAGCAAAGGATAACTGGGATGCATATGATAGAAGCTGCCACATGCCCTTTCCATTTTATTTCACGAATGATGGCAGTTGACAGTGAAAAGAAAATAAGAGGTATAATATGTTTTCCTTTGTCCTTACCTTTAACGGAAATGAAGAATTTTTGGATATTTTGCGATATCTTCTTTCCAAATCATCGTTCCAAAATGACGAACGGTCTTCGGTCGACGAGCGCTGCCAAAAAAGGTAACACTCCCTAAACAAGCTGACAGCGTTCCAATAGGTATTGGATACAATCGTCAATCATCACCCACGGGCCATGGACCAACAAGGCCGACGCAGTCCCATGTGCTGAATATTTTTCAGACTACCCCAGTGTGTATTTATTCCACATCGATAGGCGGACACTGAAAACCAAAATGATTCTCCTGATGCCCTGGTCATGGGCATTTATACCCGCATGATTCCCTTTTGATCCTTAGATTATACCCACTTTTTCATTCCCTTCGATTATGCGGGCATCACAGAGGGAATCCGAGTCCCCAAATATGTCCGTAATACTCCCATATTATACCAGTGGCGCTGATCCTCTCGATAGAACGTAAATAACACCCAATTAGATCTGTAATACTCTCCAATGATTCTCAGCTACGAGAATCATTGAAGAATCAATACTGTCTCGCGATTCCCATTTGACTCTCTCATGATTCTCCAATTATGTCACTATGATTCCCGGAAAGGGCATAACTGCCATTTTCTCGCCGCCATGACAGTTTGTAACTGTGAGGTGGAGTTGACTGCGTTTCGGGGTTGGATTTTCGGGCATTTAAGTGTGTTTTTTAGGTCTGTGACTTTCGCAAGCGAAGTTTTTGTTCCTATTGCACTCTTTGATATTTCTGACACAGTGTAAAGACAATATTTTCCTAAGAAACACAAACAGAATCCATCTTTATGCCATGGATGGACTGAGAGAGAGAAAGAGAGAGGTTGAGCTCATCGCTGGGAAACCTGTCACCAGTTTTGGACGACCAGCCTACAGGGTGGGGCAGCATAATCGGGAATAAATATCAAACGGGATTATTTGGTCATGAATTTAAAAATATAGCTCCAAGCACTATTTTAACAACATCCCATCAATCGGTCACCTTTTACCTATCCCTCATCCTATTTGACCGCCCTTCGCGTCGATGACCTTCTCAAGGCGGGTCCAAAAGCACGCGCATGCACGTGCAGCCTCCTGCTTGTCCATGATCGCCCATCAGCTTCGTACCTTGCACTGAAGACCGTTTTTACTGATGATAAGTTGTTCATTAAACTTCTACCAAAAAACGCTCCATATAAAGAATTTGGTCGGATTTAAATCGGCGGAGTTGAAGGACCAGAAGTTTTTGGTTCATCTCAGGTGGAGGTGCCCTACACAATAACATGTCGTCCTCACTGCAGTACCAGCACGGACAGAGTCCTCGTAAGACGTGATCTGGACCGTCAGTGATCCTCTCTTCCGACGACTCCACGTGAGTCTGCCAGAGTGTGGATGTATTTACCAGAGGTGCTCGTTTTATCCGGGCTCGATGAAGTAGGGTGCACCACGTGCACCTCCCTTGAAGACCACCCATAGGTCCATCACCTCAACAGGATGTTTACTTTGCATGACCGCTGCAATATTCTCGATACAATCCCCTATATGGCATGCCATTCTTTTTTATCGTATTCCAGTCGGTGATAAGATTTTTGGTCGCTGAAGTTTTGAACATTGTTTCTTTTTAATATGCTCAAGAGCTTCTTCCTTATATTCAAGTGAGTCATCTTGTATGTCCTCTGCTAAGAGTTATTTTACGATGATTACGTTAACTTTTTGTCCTAAGTATCCCCACACAATCCTTATCGTCCGTGATAACACGTTGACCTGTCCAGCAACCTTTACGTGGAATGGCATTGTTTTAAACAAAATGTTCTTGTTTTACTCGTTTAACATTAGTGTCTATGGGCGCGCGCAAAGCACTTGGAGCACCGTCGAACTATTTTGCTGCTCTTTTCCAGGAAGTTGCATGCTCATGGATGTAGTCATGTCAGATGATGCACAACTTTTGGGCGTTTCATTGCCATGATATAATTTATCAAAATAATGCCATGCCTACTCATGACCAGAGCCCAAAAAGCATTCCCGATTATGCTGCCCCACCCTGTACGTGACTTTATGGGGACAACCTGTGAAAATACATCTCGCAGTCGAGGTAAGGACGAACTGCAGCAGATTTATAATATGTTTTTTGGAAAAGTGTTTTTATTCTATATTCTTTTTTACCGCGCCGTGCTGGTGGTCTGAATTTCCAGTGTCGTGCTGGGGAGGGGGGGGGGGGGTGCGTTTTCACCCCTCCCCCGTCTAATTCGGCTCCTGGGCCACGTAGCGACACGCGGTAAGCGGCATTCGAAAAAGCGTAAAATAAATTATGAAAATACTTCGGTCATTTTTTAGGTCAGGTAACCAGAGGTCATCAAATGTCAAATTTTATACATTTCAACAATTTTCGAAACACCCAGCGCATAACTCGGGAACCAATAGAGCTACAGCGCCGGGGAAGATCGCATTCGATACCTCTTTTACAGGCCTATCTGAGGAATGCTCTCAGATTTGACCTCAGGTCAACGGATTAGCCTCCAGAGGGCAAAACTCCAAAAATAGCCGTATTTACGAAAAAAAAGTTTTTCGGTAATTACTTTTGACTCAAATAAGTCACGATATCAATTTTACCAGCATCGTGTTCCTCTCGTCGAGAAGCGTCGAATGAACTATAAGTTGACCTGGCAAGGTCATTTGGAAAATTTGACCTCAGGTCAAGGTCATGACCTGACCGGACAGAGTCATGCTGCATATCAATCGATCCGTATCGTCGAGCTGAACACATCTGACATGTTTTCACCGCTCTAGCACGTCTCTATCAAAAGCTATAGTAAAAACTGCTGGTGACCTTCAATGACCTGATATGACCTCAGGGGCACAGAGAGGGGTCATGTGTACAATTTGCAGATTCAGTGTGTCATATTTACTTATAAACCGATGTTTGTAAGCTTGCTTAGAACGACATTTGTTCAAATGAGGCACATTTCAATTTTCTCCTGTTGACTTATAAAAGAGAGGTCGCAAAATTGACCTGACCGTAGGTCACAGATATCAAAATTCCAAGATATAAATTTTATACATACTGCTACTCTTATCAATCGCCTAAAGTTTTAAAGCGATCGTTCAGTCGATGTAGCTACAGCGAGCCTTTAACCCGCGCCCTGCAGGGGGGGTGTTTAAACCCCCCCCTGTGGTTTTTCGCGAATATCTCAAAAATGGCGGCGCGTTTTTGGTACACCTTATCATACATCAATTCTACACATGTTGTGAAAATGTCAGACCAAGGTCATTCAAGGTCAGGTCACCAGGTCACTTGAAGTGACCTCACCTGATAAAAAAGTTTCAATGTCTGCCATAGCTACACCGAGTGACCGATCGCTTTGAAACTTTCAGCGATTGCTAAGAGCAATAATATGTACAAAATGTTTATCTCAGAATTTTGATATCGGTGACCTAAGGTCAGGTCAATTTTGCGACCTCCCCATTATAAGTCAATGGGAGAAAATTGAAATGCGCCTCTTTTGGACGAAAGACATTATAAACACTCCCAAACACTGAATTACAAGAGGTTTAGACACACTGAACATGAAAATGGTGTCCGTGACCCCTGTTTATGCCTCTGAGGTCATCTCAGGTCACGAATGGTATCTAACAGTTTTTCGCAAATAACTTTTGATAGAGGCATGCTAGAGCGATGAAAAACGCCTTAGATCTGTTCAGCTCGACGATACGGATCGACTGATATGCAACATGACCCTTTCCGGTCAGGTCATGACCTTGACCTGAGGTCAAATTTTCAAGTTGACCTTTCAAGGTCAAGTTATTGTTCATTCGATGCGTCTTGACGAGGGGAACACGATGCCGGTAAAAGTAAGCTCGTACAAGGCTTGGGTCAAAAGTTATTGCAGAAAAACTGTTTCCGAAAGAATCGGCTATTTTTGCAGTTTTTGCCCCCATGCAGGCAAAACAGTTGAAATTAGGTCAAATCTGAGAGAACTATTCAGAAAGGGCGTTAGTAGGGCTATCGAATGCGTTTTTCCGCGGCGCTGTAGCTCTATTGGTTCCCAAGTTATGCATTGACTTCTTGGAAATTGTCGACATTCGACCTGGAAATCGGCGAAATTTTGCCTTCAATGACCTCTGGTGACCTGACCTATGACCTGACCAAAAAGTGACTGAAGTAATTTCGTCATTATTTTTGGATCTCTTTCGAACGCCGCCTTCCGCGTATCGCTACGTGGCCCAGGAGCCGAGTTAGAAGGGGGTGTTCAAACACCCCCCCCCCAGCAGGGCGTGGAAATCCAGGACCCCCAGCCGGGCGCGGGTTAAACTTGTTCTGAGACCAGGTCACTTGACGGGACCTGGTGACCTGACCTTGAAAGACCGGGACCTGAAATTTTTACGAGTTTATATTCCATAATGTAGAATGAAGTTAATATCCTGGATTGTCATTACAAGAATGCGTGTCTTGTAAAACATTGAGCCTCAAAATATCTTGCAAGATATTTATTTTCAGAAAGTTACCGCTGTATCGGGTCAGGATGTCCGCTGTCCAGTAAAGAGTAATGAACATTTTTAGTACGCCTCAGATAGGTATGTTCTCCCGCTTTTACATGGGTGGCATTGTCCCTTTGAAGCAGTTAAGTCTGAGTTGAGTCAGATTACAACAATTTAGCATTGAGTTGAATAAAATTTTGTCGCCGTGATTGTTCGTGAATAATGGACAAGTCAATCCGATAAACTTCCTGAGTCCAGTACGACCCTGCTTCCAGAACGTCAGTAAATCAAAAGTAGTAAATTAACAGTGATGCTACGTGTTTGTTTCACAGAGGACGTGCCGCTCATCATTCTGCGGTTGCTGGGCGAGGAGGCGGCGGTCGTAGTGGAGGCGCCCTGCGTGCTGTCGTCAGGGCCTTTTATCCAGGAAGGACCCTCTGGAGGCGGCATTACGTTCAACGTGCTGGTGGAGGGCGCATGGTGACCAGCGCCACCACTCTGGACGGAGCGCTGCTCCTCCTGGGGATGGTGCATTTGTGATTCAATCTGCGAGTGTCACGGGCGGTGCGTTCCACAATGTGGTTTTTGTCGCGACTCATCATGGGCCTGCGCCGGTGGAGTCGACTGCCAAATGCCACAGCTGACGCTCAGAGAAATCTCGCTGAGCTGCAGTGAAGTTTCGAGCATCGGGAAGTGATGTGCGGGGCGCCCTGGTTGCGAAGAGAGCGGGGAGTGCACAGACGGCGTGTGTGCCCGTTTGTCGGAGTGGAGCTGCAGCAGGAGGGCACAGGGATAATACAGGATGCATTACAGGGTGCATAATACAGGCACAGGGACATTGAGCGTGTTTAGGTACGTGTTTCTTTGTAATCCCAAGCTGGGAATCACATTTTTCATTCATTCTTTATGATTACGTGACTCAGCAAGAGGCTGTGAATTGCATTCGTGCAAGTACATTTGAAATAATACATGCCACATTTGTAAGATCCATGTTTATATGTTATGCTTGTATTCCTCACTTTGCCAGTGAGAGTCGCGGCCCGGGAATTTTGTGGAATCAAGGGGGAATATCAAGGGTGATAATTGGGGCATCATGAGAGCATGTAATGGGGTATATCGTAAGCATCAATAAAGCATAAAGTGGGATTTCTAGGGGTAGATTAGGAGTGTGATGGGGGCATTATATGGGCATCAAAGGAGAATAGACGCAATTCTGTAAGAATATCTGAAGAATATATGGGGTATTTTAGGGTGCTCGCAGGGGAAGAATCGGGGCATTGTCTGTATTCTCCCTAACTCCCTTGTGGGAATATTTGAAGAATTTTGGCAGAATATTTTGAGGATCATAGAGCGAAAATGGGAATACTTGAGGTAGAGAACAGGAATATTTGGGGTGTTGTTTTGGACCATTCTCCCATTATCCGCCAAAGGGAATCATTTTTGTTTTCAGTGGAGGCGAGTTTTGCGCATAACCAACCAGCAATTAGCATACATAATACCCACATACTATAATATGTATTTATATCCTACATTATTGCAAAGACGTGCGCGTTTGGGTCGCAGCTCGCAAACGTCTCCACCGCCGCGCAACTCTCTCACCGACAAGTTGAGCATAGTCAGCACGGACTGCAGGTCGATGTCGACGTCTGCTTTCCGTTTGGGCCAGTGGCAGACCTCCTCCTCTGGCCTCTGGGTGGCCAGTCGCCTCAGTCTCAGCCGGTGGCCGGTGGGTGCAGTCTCCGGCGGCGGCACGTCCATCAGTGAGAGCAGCAGCACCACCAGGCAGCAGTAGAAGACGGTGCCGGCCAGCAGCAGGGAGCTCGGTCGGCGCACCGGGCAGCGGGCCGACCGGCGTCCACAGCGAGGGACCAGCCAGCGACTGGGGGCCTGGGACAGGGAATATATCAGTCTCGTGGGGCTGTTAGTGGCACCTCTAATGGGTCCAGTCAGTGATCATGATCTGGAATAGGAGATGAATGTACTACGTCATCGGTGGGTTTTCAGTTAACATTGACAGAATACTCCGTTAAACAATTATACGTACTATGAAATATGACGTCCCTGATACCGGTTCAGGCCACAATAGGTCACCCATCACAATAATAGGTACAAATGTATACTGAGGTCTGAGACACTCGATGTATGGCCCGAATTCGAGCCAACTTTGCAAACGTAGAAGTTTTAGTGAGGTATTTTTCGCACGTTATTTAATCACCGTTACCGGTTACTTTACTTTATCTTATCGCAGAAGGTAGGAACCTGATTTATTTCAACTACAACCCCATTGACTTACTCAAGACTCTGCAATAAATCCTTTGTAAATGTTTGTTGAAAGCAATATGTCGGATGTGGTTAACTACTCTCACAATCTTCTGGGCCATATAGGAACAATTAACATTGCTTGCTACTTTTCAAGCCATCAGTCCCAGCTCATTGCACCGGGTGGATGCTTTCGGCGAGAAGCAGGCTCCACATTCTCTCACTGAAACAAACCCCGCCCAGGGGGTTGGATGGTACACTGGGTACACGTATAAGTGCCTCCCTAACATCGCGAGTACATTGCGTTGTTCGAAACCACTGAATGTTTATTATGAAGAGTTGAACAGCTATCGTATGGCCACTGTTACCTCAATGTCGTAGTAACTTGGGGACAGGAGCAGAAAGGGTGCCTTCAGGAGAAAATACAGCAAAGGATTATACCTCGCTAGACCTGTTGTTTTTAACACTTTTTTAAGCCGGGGGATGGTGAGACCTCTCTCACCATTTCGCCTCAACTGAGCTAGAGCTTCGTGGGAACAACCAGAGTGAGTGCCGTTACAAGACGCAGCGATTGGTATGTAGCATGCATCGACTACCCAATTTTAAGGATTCAGGTCAAAGGCTAGTTGGTGACGAGGTCAGGTCGAGTGCCCTAAGTCCAGTTTTTTTTTTACGAATAGCTTCGCAAACAATAGTCGCACAGCCACGAGTTTGGAGGACCCGACGTGTGTGTAACGATCAGGTGCGTCGAATGACTTTTTGCTTGGGAAAGGTCAACTAAGAGTGCTGGGCTCAGGTCAATGTCCGGTCATAGCTGCTTAGGTCACGAACCTAGGCGAATGATATCATATCTCATATAATTAGATTTGGTAGCCCTTCCTGAGGCAATCGATGGATTTTATGGCTCTCCAGCTCAATTAAATTCCGAGTTTTTGACGAAAAAGGCCGACAAACTAAAACGACCTTAGTGATCTAATGTATGACGTCATGCTAGGTCCCCAATGCGAACCATAAGTATCGAACCCTGCTAGACGTGTATGAGGTGAAGATTCCAGTTGTTTGAGATGGTCCTAGATCATTTCTGGTGCCGAAATAGCAATTGCAATATTTCTCTAATTGACTTAAAATGCTGAGCTTACTTTACCGACCTGAACTCGGGTGAAAATGACATTTATCAATGCGAGACATGCAGGTTGTGAGAGCTAGGGGCCTTAAGCTGCACCCCACTGGGCCGGGGTGGGGGGTGGAGGGGGAGAATCTACCTCAGGTCCCTTTTTATGCCAATAGTTTCTAAACACGTTTAGCTACGTCAAGCTTTCGGCGCCTTTTCATTTGGCATATTCGTAAAGTTTGATCAAATTCTTTGGATATTTAGAAACATGATATTTTATTCACGTCATGTCACGCCATTTTTGCTTTTAAAACTGAAAAACTTCAAGCCCTCTAGCATATTCAGTTTTTAAGAAATCAATACGTAACCAAATATGTGAGTATTTTCTCTGTCGTTCGACTGGTCATCGCTTATTTTGAAACTTTTTTACTTTGATCTAAAATTTTCAAAAGATGTTTAAACAAAAATTCTATAAATTTAAAATTTGGAGCCAATAAAACGGAATGCATGCTAGAAAAGTGCAGTCTGGACAGGTATAAGCTCGAAAATGTAGAATTTATTCGAACTTTACGTCATGACGTCATGTCGCACATTTTTTGTTACAAAAATGAAATTTTTGAGAGTTCTAGACCTTATTACGGGAATAAAAAGCACCATTCAATTTGCCCTGAAAGCCTGAATCAGATATACCCTGTGGCGGTCTTAAAACACTTAAAACACTTAAAACACTTAAAAAATTGATCTCACTTGACCCGACATTGACTTGACCTAGGCCTAATCCTCATCCAAATGTGGTGAGTATATGCTCATTGAGTTCTGTATGACTTATGAGTATCATTTGAGGTACGAGCAATATCCCAGTTATAATCAAGCTTGTATGCGCTTGTGATTGATTGTACAAAAAAGCACGTGCCTCGGTCACATACATGTCAGTGCTACACACTACACAATTACACATGTATCTGCACCATGAACTTCTCTAGGTAGGTATATCATAGACTACTCTGTAACACAGTTGTCTATGCTCGCGCCTATTCTAGGCATTTTTTTTTTGTGAATAGGCCACGTAGCGGTTTCAGAGTCGTTCATCATGGATAGTAACGGACCGCGCCGAGGACCAGTCCTTCCGTAACAGCCAAACGCAGGCGGGACGGCGCGGGGGAGCGGCCGGTGCGACCACGGGCCTCCGTATAAGGGCCCAGTCGCCGCGACAGCAGGTGAATGAACTCGAGAGCCGATGTCGCCGAATAGCTCACGCGCCTCACCTTGGAACAAGCGGAAAACAACCGCCGCCACACACCAGCGTCCGCGGGAGTCAGCTGCTACGCTAGTGATGCTCTTTGGTCACAGGTGTTTGTAAAGAGGACCGTAGCCAATTGACTTTTCTCTGGCGCTTATTTCTTTGACGGGCTGGCAGGCAATACCTTCAAAGCTCCTTTCTGTCGCATTGAAATAAGGCAGCCTGTGACTGCACGGATCATACTGGGCATCTTTATGACATGATCTATTCATGACCCCTTAAGTAAGACCATATGACGTTGTTACGTACGACCATGTTACATGTCCATGCGTTCCATCGTTTCCGTTCTGAGGATGGTCAAATCCTTCTCCTCCCCGGCTCAACCCCTTGATACGGGCTGGATGGTCACATCTATCCAACGCTTGTAACTCCGCCCCAGGAGCAGGCCCGTAGTCGGGTGCGGTGACCATTAGCGGGGGAGGATGACCTGTCCACGACATGGGCTCAGCCCCGACGGAGCACCACGGTGTCCAACCAGAGCAATGACTCCCCCTAATTCCTATCATCTTTCCGGCTCTGAAATATTCTCATCAGAGCGGAAGAGCCTAACCCAACGAGCGAGAGAGAGAGAGAGAGAGAGAGAGGGAGTGAGAGAGAGAGAGAGAGAGAGAGAGAGAGAGAGAGAGAGAGAGAGAGAGAGAGAGAGAGAGAGAGAGAGAAAGAGAGAGAGAGAGAGAGAGAAATAGGGAAGAAGATAAAATAAATAAAATGTCCGTGTGCATTTTCTTAAAATGCGAGCTTTCTGCACGCTTTCTATGCCTATCAATGCCTCCAGATGTCATGTTTTATCAAGTTTTTATCTAAAAGGTTAGGAAGATCTCTTGAGTAGAGCAATGCAATCTATACATAAAGCCACTATTTTGCTTTATCATATTGTCGTATTGTGAATAGTTTCCTATCTACCATTCTAACCATTCGCTTTTTGTAGAAATGCCTGCATGCTTGAATGTACCTTTAGCTTAGCTTTTTTAATATCATTCATTCATTCATTCATTCATTCATTCATTCATTCATTCATTCATTCATTCATCATTCATGGTGCATGCTACATATATAGATGTGCCACGCTAAGTTCAGGCTGACGGACATAGGTACTGTAACAAAACTAGAAATATTTTGAAAAAAAAACTAAAGGGGGGGGGGCAAAAAATGCCCCCCCACCACCCGGAAGGTTAATTAACGTTATGTCAACAATTAGGGTACCTATAGGTAATATGGCTAGTTGACAATGTCAGCTGGTATTTATTTACTCATTCGTTTATACAACCAGTCGTAAACTGATTCTCTGTTAAGTCATTTTCAATGGGCAGAAATAGCCGTTTTCACGAAGGACATTTGGTTCGCATTTGGTGAAGATTCGGGGCAAATTTGGCTCAGATTTAGTGAAATTAGGTTTTGTGTATTTCTTAGCAGCTATCAGCTAGGGTTCTATTAATTGTTTGTATTCTGCCTCGTCATATCATCAGACGTTATCATTGATTGAAGTACTGAAACAAACTCGTTGTATATACTCAGTGTATCTCAGTGTATTTGTATACAAATATCTTCATACAGTGTATGAAGATATTTATTATAAATCAGATTAGGTGCAGACTTGGTGAGAATTTGGTGCATTCGCCAGATAGCGCGTCGTGAAAATGGCTATTATGATTTCGCCTTCCAACTTACCTCCATGTCTCTGCCTTCTGTTCCTTGCCACTCTAGCTCCTTCGTAACACTCTCTCCTCTGCCATCACTCTACCTACTCCACCGCTCTTCCAAACGCTTTTCACTACTCTCGCCACTCTGCCCCTCACTTTCTGCAGTCACTGGTTACTCTATCCCTCTCTTCATGAGGTCACTCGCCCCACCTCTCTCTCTCTCTCTCTCTCTCTCTCTCTCTCTCTCTCTCTCTCTCTCTCTCTCTCTCTCTCTCTCTCTCTCTCTCTCTCTCTCTCTTCCCCACACCACTCGCTCCTGACGGCAGGCCGGTCGGTAAGGAACTGTCGCCGCCACCCGCACGCACACTGTCTGCCCTCCAGACCTCCACCGACGAGTCTGCCGGCCGCGCCTGTTTCACACGTCCACTGGAGCCGGCGCGCCGATTGGGGGAGGTATATGGTAGGGAGGGAATACCTACCTACTGCCGCCGCCTGTTCCGCATGTCTGCAATGACTGGCAGTCCGGTTGAGGAGGTATTGTTATGAGGCTCTGTTTGACACACCTCTTGGTTCGTTGCTTCTTTCCTGTCCCCGCCGTCGGTGTCACGGTGACATTGCAGTGCAGAGACAAAGTTCCGCGGTAATATCGTGTAATTGGTGCCACCACCGTGAAGCGAGGTAAAACGGTGGCTGTCGGCAATAATTTCTTCAATTCAAGATCTTTATTAGGTAGGTAATAATGCAGCGAGAAAACAGCTTTGGAAATAATTCTCTTCTGTGAGTTTTTTTATTGGGAAGAGTAGATATGACTAGAATTTCATTGAGTCACCAACCAGTTTTCCTTATTGTTGAAAAAAAAAAAATCGGTGAGAGCAGGCGTGGTTCTGCAAAGCCTTCGCCATGTTCGAAACTCCTATAAATATAACCTAATTCTCAAAATTCAAGCGATGTTTGGTAGCCGCAATAAAACTGTTCCTGGAAGTAAGAAGATTTGCACGCTTATAATTACGGTTTGTTCTTGCTATGTTTTATATAGGTCACCACTAGGTCACGCTTGGTCACAAAAAGATTAAAGTTTTAAGACATATATAGGTCATGTAACACATGTTATAGCCCATTTTGGCTATATAACTTATTGTCGTCGGTGCCTCCGGGAGTTATATTTATCTGGTAATATTGAAGACAAGGTCACAGTTAGGTTGACTCTCGCCCTGGCAGGGCATTTTTCATAACATGGCCTGGCAGGGGGGGGGGGGGGGTCGATGCGACCCCCTCGCGATTGACTCCTATGGCACCTAGAAACACCAAATTTGGTAGGTAGGTGGGCCCCCTAGAGTTCTCGCTCTTGTGCAAATTTGGTTGCTCTAGGTCAATATTTAGGGGGTGGGGGTTGAGGAGTATAAATGTAAAAATTTCGCTAAAAACAGGTGAAAAGTTTTCGCTTATAACTTTTGATCTAATTAAGATAGAGCAAAAATAAAAGCACCAGTGAACTCAGCACGTCAGAGCGCATCGAATGATGTACTTTTTAGCCGGCTTAAGTGTACTTAAAGTTTTTCTTAATTATTAAGTAAACTTTAATTAATTAATTAAGTTCAAGCCAACTTGCATCATAGCGCAAATCATTCGATTCGGCTGATCACCAGGAACAAAATGACACCGATTTTTTAGCTCTGGCGTCATTATGTCCCAAGTTATTGGCAAAACGTCATTTGACCTCAGTTGACCTCATTTGACCTGACCCATGGATAAGTACACCAAACAAAGAAGCACCAAGTGCCCTGCTGTTAAGTACTGTGGTTTCAAACCACAAAAGTGATGGAACGAAGCGGATATCTCCAGTATTTTTCCGAGTTTAGTATTTTCGCATAGGCTTAACATTACGATATAATGACCTCTAACTGACCTCAGGTCAGTGACCTCAAAAAACCCGAACTATATGTTATACAACTCGATGAACTAAGCACATCCTGAAAGTTTGAAGGAAAGCAGTCCAAGACTATGAGTTGGACAGTTGTAAAAAGAAAATTGGAATTTGACCATGAACTTGTACCGGTTTTTCTGACCTGGTGACCTGACCCAAGTTCACCCGGACCTGAAATTTTCAGGTCATATGTAAAAAGGTTGCCCCATAGGCTGTGCCAAATTTGAAGGCGTTGCGCGCCGCCGTTTTTACGCTATCTTCGAAAAACCTTAAGGTAGTGGGTCGCATCGACCCCCCTGCCAGGGCGAGGGTTAACCCGGCAGGCGTTGGGCCTCCCGGCCACCTTCCGCGCGTTAGGGGGGACATTTTTTGCCCCCCCCCGTATCTCCGAAACTACTGGACGGATCCGAAAAATTCAAACGGTGTTCGATAGCCCTGTCAAATTTTCTCTAAGGAAACTAAATTTCATTGACCTCGGGTTCACCGATGACGTCACAGGTCAGGTCAAAGATAAAATGTTTCACCGTTCACGGGGCTTCTAGGGAAAGCGCTATAACACCGAGTAAAACGCATTTTGTCGAAAATCAGCGATAAGGCGTCAGTTGTCTAGTACATATGTTGCTATTAGAGGTCACTGGTCATACCAGGTCAGGTCACAGGTCAGGTCACCAAAGGTCACCAAGGGTCACCACATGAGCCCAACTTTACTAAGTTATGCGATGCATGTTTTATGGCCAGTTTTTCATTTCCAACTCAATGGTGTTGGTTATAAGACCATCAGGTACGATTTAGGTCACTTTCTGATGGAGGTCAGGTCAAAAAGGTCAAAAAAGGTCAAATTTCAAAGTTGATATTTTTGCATAACATGGGTATTGATTCGATGCAGCTCGTCACGGGGAGTCTAATGGTGTTCTTTGTTTTGCGCTAAGAGATCTAGAATTGCTAAAATTTGAGTTAGAAAATTAGACGTCATCAATTTTGAACAGTTTTTTTCGCTATAACTTGGCCAAAAAGAGGTATCAATCTCAAATTTGGTATGGAGATAGAAAGCGGTAGGGACTATCACATATATTCCGGTTTTTTGAAATTCAAAAAAACGTTTTGGATTTCTCGGGTATTATAATTTAAAAAATCTATTTTTTGATTTTTGGGGGTCAAAATGCAAAAAATTCGAAAAACCGAAATAGCAGTTTTGTAACCCGCTTGATTCCACACCTCTTATGTCTGAAACATTTTTTGTATCTCTAAAGCTGTAGGCCTAACAGCTCTTCCCGCAAAACCTTTTTTGGGTCGAAAATGTCAGAAATGACGTCACTTTGACGTCATTAGCGGCCAACCTATCATAGCCTTTGGAAAAATTTTAGTCACCATGTGCGCTAGCTACTCCCGGGAGGGTACTGAAAGTTTGGTGACGATCGGCGAAGTGGTTCTCGAGATATATCGAAAAAACTAAGGGGGGGGGGGGCAAAACAATGCCCCCCACCGCCTGGAAGGTTAAAAGGGTCAAATTTTGAAGCTATTTTTTTCTCAGCAAAAATGCGTCTATCCAATCAGCTTGAGCTAAAAAAGCATGATGGTGCTATTCGTTTTCTGTGCAAGTTTTAGAATATGTTAAATATCGCATTTGATAATGTTGAATTAATGACTTATACATGCAGTAACATGTAAAAGCAGATAACTTCGGTCATTTTTAGATATATCAAGCCAAAATGTTTAATAGTGGTTCAATAGTGGTTCACTCATAACCTCTTACCTTTGAAACCTGCGAGAAATAAGCGCAGAAATCACTAATCAGTCCAGAATAAATAAGTGTCAGTCTTAAAACTAGGCTCTTGAAAGCGATTGTTGTAGAGTTATGTCTTCATCAAAATATGACGTAACTATAGGGTCATTTCCGGCCGACCTATATGACAGCTACGGCCTTCTCCTTTAAACACGAGGTACACGATTAATGCAGCCAAAGGTACGGAAAGTTTCGTGTCGATAGCTAAGTGGCTTAGAAGATCATTGAAACAAACGAGAGGCTGGCCCTGTAGAGCTCCCCCCCCACCGTCCCTCAGTCAAGCGCGAGCTAATGAACATGGGCGTATGGCTTCCAGCCTTTCGAATTGTCTTGAAAATCGAAGGAAACCCGGTCAATATTTAAGAGTGCACGCGAAGAAATCCTTGATTTGCAGAATCAAAACATTGAATACATCAACGGATTAATCAACAAATGATATTTACAGTGGGTGGCATGGCATGTGATAATCTGCCAATTCCCGAATTCCATGTAATTCCACGTATACGGTGCAGCACTGTTGGCCTACCGTGCGCTTTAACAGCTCCTCGATATGTGCTCCGTAGTCACGCACCATCCCGAATTTGACTTTACCGGTTTCTTGATTTGCACTTATTCTGCGAATCACTAAGTGATTGTTCAGGTGGGAGTGTGTCATGACACAAGTGCAGGGTGCGTGCGTGACGCCCGTTGCCGCTTTCTCACATTAGCCCATTATGGCTTGCCCAATTATGGTGCCATTTGGTACGCGGTTTAGTATGGCACATGCCTCACAATTTCTGGATGCGGTTACCAGAGATGGTATGCAGGCGTGCGAGCAGCCGGTCATCACTTCTTTGCACGTTTGTCAGAAGCCACTGTGCCCGATCAAACATAGTTATTTGTGGGTTCCAGCCACATATTCATCATTGATGCATATATAATTGTATCGGATACCAAGTTACGTTTTACCAGCAGACAAATCGCCGGTTGCGGTTACTTTTAACCCTCGCCCATGTAGGGGGGGGGGGGTTGGTGCAACCCCCCCCTGAGGTTTTTCGGAAATAGTGGAACAACGGCGGCGCGCAGCGCCGCCAAATTTTGGGTACCTTATGGGGCAAACCTTGCGCATCTTTTGATAAAAAAAATTTGACCGGGTCATGTCAGGTCACGGAGTTATGACGTCACAAAGGGAACAGCCTCCGGCCGGATTTTCACAAACTGAGTGCCAACGCCCGAGGTTTCCTGCCGGTGGTACGGACATCGGTTGATGGATCATGATGAAACTTCCCATGCATGTTGGGGCAAGTATTGGCTATCATATGGTATAAGAAACTTGACCGGGTCAGGTCAGGTCACGGAGCTATGACGTCACAAGAGGAACAGCGTCCGGTACTATTTTTGAAAAGCGCCCGAACCACTATTTTGCTAATTCTTGTCACCTCAATGGGAATATGCAGCAATATTAGCTTCTATAGGGAGCAAATGGACATCCCAAATCAAAAAATACAATCAGATTTCAAAAATTTAAATTTTGATTTTTCGAATTTCTGCCGCCGACTGTGACCTTGCCGACTTCCGGCACTCCCAACGCGCCATTTTTAGAGCTAGGGAAACGAAATACATACCAAACGATAGAGAATTGATCAAGGAACACGATAGTGAAGATTTCAAGTCGATATCTC